TTTATCACTCAATTCACAACTGTTTGTGGGACAATGTGCACAATTGGCTGCTACGTTTCGCCCACAAAATATACAGTCAATTCACTTCACAGTGTATTCTGTCAAGTGCTTTGAGACGTCTTGAAGATGTGATAAGGCACTATATCAAATGCAAGGATTATTTACTATAAATTCTGGAAAAAATTTGAGACGTTCTCACAATGTGCAAGGTGTTTTTGCCAAATGTAGAGAGTGAGAATTTAATTCAATTTGTCACTTAAAACATTGTCTGCACTAGTTGCCAGTTGTTATCATGAACCTGATAAACAAGTTATGGAAAATAATATTCAAGAGTGCAGTATTGGGAACTAAGCACGGGGAACTACTCCTTCTTCCAACTTTTCCGGGTTCTTTTCACTGCCTTTCTGTAGTTTTTACAACATCACAAGATCGGTTTGGATGAAGAAGGCCCTTCGGCTCATCTGATCTCAATCCTCCACAGCGCCCACCTTACCACTCCCCCCTCACCCACCAATCACTTGGTCAAGCTGTTTTTCCAAATGAGTCCAGCATCCTGGCCTCCATTACCTTTCCTGGCAACCTGTTCCAGCAGTCAGTAGTGGGGAACACTCTGCCAAATTTCAAAATTTCAACGCGTGATAAACAGAGATCTGATCAAAGAAAATAAAGGAGATACCAGCAATGATCGATAGCTTAAGCTGTTCCCTGAGTGGTGTCCTTGTTGTCCTGAATATTCTCTCGCTGTTGCGGGGTTGTAATCATGAAGTACAATCTCCCCAATGAATTCTTTTTCCTCGGTTACTGAGGGAATTACCAGTGGCACTTCAGAATTCTTCAAACAAGTTAAGGCAATAACTGCTAATCTTTAGCTGTGCAGACATTTGCTTTGAAGTGCAAGGAACAACTACCACAGAGAGAGAACATTTTCTGTGATAGGCTTTGCCTTGATTCCAGGACAACTGATGTCCTGACACACTGTCTATCAGACATCAAGTCCTGGATGAGAGCCAACTTTCTACGGCTGAATGTCAGCAAGACTGAGGCTCTCTTACTGGTTCGCGTCAGCACCTCAGGCACTGGCAGCATCAGCATCCACAGTTGCAGTTGCACAACTCCACCTCACCAAGCCAGTTAGGAACCTGGGCATCTTGTTCGACCCTCAACTGTCGTTGCTCACCTATATCCGTACCATGATCCACTCTGCCTTCTCCCACCTCTGCAACATTGCCCTACTCCACCACTGCCTCACCCCTCAGGCCGCTAAAACCTTCGTACACGCATTCGTCACCTCAAGGCTCGACTACGGAAACTCCCTCGTCAGCCTCCCCTCCAGAAACTGCAGGTCATCCAGAACTCTACAGCTTGTGTCACTCTCCCGCACCATGTTCCGCAACCCCATCACCCCCACCCTCGCCCGGCTCCACTGACTCCCCATACCTCAGATGATAGAATTCAAAATCCTCGTCCTCACTTTCAAGTCCTTGCCCCCTTCTATCTCTCTGACTCCCTATCAACCTGCCCGCTCCCTCCCGCTCAGTAGCTCCATGTCTCCCGCCCGATCCGCCCTACCATCGGTGGCTGGGCTTTCAGCCTCTCTGCCCCTACCTTTTGGAACTCCATCCCACAATCCCTTTGCAATGCTCCCTCCCTTGCCTCATTCAAGGCACCACTCGACCCACCTTTTCGACCGTGCCTTCAACCGCCCTCCTACCTCTCTGCCCTCCCTCATCCTAACCCTGCCATCCCACTCTTGGGTCCTGATCTCCGATTGTTGAGTATCTTGGGATGCTGATGCTGCCAGTGCCTGAGGTGCTGACGCGAGCCAATCAGGAGGGCCTCAGTCTTGCTGACATTCAGCTGTAGAAAGACCGTATGAAAGACGCTTTCCAAATGTAATTTTGTTGTTGTTGTTGTTGTTGTAATGGGTTATAAATCGATATTCCATTGAGTTATAGGATTTATGAAGAACTTAAGAAGCAGGTGGTCAAGTCAAGATGCAACAAAGGTCTTGACATGTTCTTTCTAGGTACGTACAGTAAATGCTTCTGGGCATAAAATGAATGGGGGAGACAATCATAAAGCTGGGGCATGAAGAAATTCACCGATAGGGTGAGGACCTTGAAATTGAACTGCAATGAGACAATGAGCCAGAAGACATACTCCATGTCCTTTTCAGATTGGCGGGATGTGACTAGTGGAGTGCCGCAAGGATCAGTCATTGGGCCTCAGTTATTTACCATCTATATCAACGATCTTGATGAGGACATCAAAGTTAATATATCTAAATTCGCGGATGGCACAAAACTAGGAGGAAGTGTCAACACAGAGGACGACATTAAAAAAATGCAGCGCGACATAGATAGGTTAGGTGATTGGGCAGGTAGGTGGCAGATGAAGTATAACGTAGGGAAGTGCGAAGTCATCCACCTAGGTAGCAAAAACAGTAGAGGGGGTTATTTTTTAGAAGGGGAGAGATTGGAATGTGTTAGCGTCCAGAGGGACTTGGGTGTCCTTGTACACCAATTAGAGAAAGTTAGTCTGAGGTGCAGCAGCAATTAGGAAGGCGAACGGTATGTTAGCATTCATTATGAAAGGATTAGAGTATAAGAGTAGGGAAGTCTTGCTGCAACTGTGTTGGGCCCTGGTGAGACCACACCTGGAATACTCTGTGCAGTTTTGGTCTCCTTATTTAAGGAAGGATGCACTGGCCTTGGAGGGGGTGCAGTGTAGATTTACGAGGTTAGTACCAGGGATGAAGGGGATGAGTTACGAGAATAGGCTGACCAATTTGGGCCTATATTCTCTAGAATACAGAAGTATTAGAGGGGATCTTATAAAAACCTATAAGATCATCAAAGAGCATGATAGAGTAGATAGTGGGAGATTGTTTCCCCCCCGGTTGGAGAAACTAAAACCAGGGGTCACAGCCTTAAAATCAGAGGCAGCCCTTTCGCACTGAGTTGAGGAAGAACTTCTTCACTCAAAGGGTGGTGAATGTATGGAACTCACTACCCCAAAGGGGCTGTTGACGCTCAGTCCTTGAACATATTCAAGACTGAGATAGATATATTTCTTATTGCAAAAGGTATTAAGGGATATGGGGATAAGGCAGGGTTTGGTTATTAGCTGGAGTTAGATTAGAAGATCAGCCATGATTGAATGGTGGGGCAGGCTCGAAGGGCCGAATGGCCTACTCCTGCTCCTACATGGTATGTTATATTAAGACTGGGGTGATGGCCATGCAGGAGAGGATATGAGCAATGGAGTTTTGGATAAGCTGGAGTTGGAGAGACCAACAGAGTGAATTGGAAAAAAAAGAGGCGAGGTTGGAGATAACAGATGTGTGGATAAGGGGCTAGTTGACATTTGGTGTGAGATAGGGCCAGGTGGGCAATGTGGAGGAGTTAAAAGACAATCTTGGTTAGAGACTGGATGTGAGGGAAAAAGGAGAGTTGAGAACCAAATCAGCTGTCACATTGGTTTGGTGAGTTTGAGAGAAGCCAGGAGGTTGAGGTCGGAGCTGGAAGTGAGTAGTCAGAGGGAGTCAAACAGCAGGCTTTTGTCATATCCATATTGAGTTATAAGAAATTGTGTCTCATCTAGTCCTTGAAGTCAAACAGATGAGCAGACTGAATATCAGTGGACCTGGAACCAAGAGTAGAAGTGGTAAGGTAGATTTGTGTATCGTCCAATGTGGAATTTAGTTAACACCTCGCCTGCAGATGAGTGGGGGGGAGGGGGGGAAGCACAATGTAACCATCCATCAATGGGGATGAAATACAATGTACACGTCCAATTCCTCTCCACCAGAGACTCTGAAGAGGTGTGCACATCTAGTTCTTTTCAAGGGTCAAGAGCATGAATGATTTCTGACAATATTTACAAGAGAACAAGTCGGGACTCCTGGTGTTAAGGGTCGCGACGCTGACTCACAGGGAGTAGACTTGAAAAGCAGGTTATGTAGAAATGGGGATGCCGTGGCTCTGCGTGATGTACAGTACTTCCAAAGTGGAATTGAAGCCAAGAGAATGCACTCCAGCAGGTCACAAACAAGCCAAACTAAACCTCTTGTCATTTTTGTTCCTTGGACAACAGGCTCAAACCAAGCTTGCTGCATTCAGAATTTTGGGGTTTCGACTCAATGGCCCAGAAATACAGAGATAATAATAATAATCCTTGCATTTGATATAGCGCTTTTCTAGATGTCCCAAAGCGCTTCACAGAATATACTGTAAAGTGAATTGACTGTATATTTGTGGGCGAACGTGGCAGCCAATTGCGCACAGCAGTGTCCCACAAACAGTCATGGATTGAAAATGACCAATTTATTATTGTTTTTTTTTGGAGGGATTATTATTAGGCTCTGTGTGGAGTAAGGAAACTTGCCCAAGGTTTCGCCCTGCCTGGAATTGAACTCAGGACTCTCACTTGCAAAGCGAGATGGGTGTCTTAACACAGGTGGAAATCGATCAACGTGCTTAATTGTATCAGAGCTCCTTTGATGACCACAACTGGAAATTTCCGTGTCTGAAATGGAATATACACTTTCCTCCCTGGAGAGACGCACTGCTCACTGAATTCCAGAGAGTATAAAGTGCAGCTTGGGGACCAAGAGTGTGTTGGGGGACTGCTGGATTTTAACCAGCAAAAACACATAACTTCTCATTGGAAACAGTGAAGGCATGCTTTCCTGCTGCTTGTCCAGCTGGGGCCATCCTATCTGTTAGAGATTTTGCTTGCAGGGTAAATATGAGTCAAGTGGGAAGGATTCCTGACACCAGTGTCTGCCCCTCCAAGTCCTGCCGATTGTGCTGTCATCAGCAATGCCATGGATTTCTGCAGAGCCAGACAATGAGACCACCACAGAGGGTTGGCTCGATTCTGACATTCCGACACCACTTACCTGATACCTAAAGACGATAGAAACGTTTTCTTCAAATTGTCTTGTGGCATCCAATTTTTTAACGTAAAAAAAAATTAAGACATTGATCAGATAGAAGAACCTTTTGAAACTTTATTTTCTGCTTAAAGATAAACAAAATGATGTCACTGTATTTTCCACTGCAATCTGAGGAACCGTTGGTGAAAGAAACACAAAGTCATTCCAATAGGTCATGGTTTTAAAAACAGCTCAAGTTGTGAGACCCAAAAAAATCTGGCAGCTCTTCTAAGAAATTTGTTGAGCATGATCTTTCACTTCCATATTTACAACCGCAACTTTTCATATGTATGACTTGCAGTCAATATCACCTAAATGTTAAGTTTTAAAATGTACATTTTTTCCCATGAAATTCATCAGACTGCTCAGATGATTGTTTACGTACTTGTATTCAGTCATTTTCTTTTTTGAGTGATGACACAACTTGTGAACATTTCCTGTTGCGTATACAGTCCGTGTGTATATCAAATATCAGGCAGCGGTGCTGTGAAAGCACGCTATAGACTTCCCTCCACACCATTTNAAAAAAATTGATTAAATCACCAAGTTAGAAAACTGAGCGACAACTTAGTTCAACACAACATTTCTCAAAATGCTTCAACAATACTTGCGAGCCTTTTCTCCTGCCAAATAGAGTAAAGTGAAACTTTATACTTTGCCATATATCATGCACCATACTTCATTAAAAAAAAGCCTCCTAAGTTATGTGGTAGGGAAAGGCTATGTTGGCAGAATCACTGCACCTTCATGTAATCAGATGTGATTTCCAGCGGGTTCACAGAATATTGTGAAGTGTTGACAAGTAAGTACACACATCAGACCCACCATATCATTGACTAACCCGGAAGAATTTGGGTGGCCACGTTATTCCTATGTTCCTGACATTGCTTGCTTATGTTTATAGAATCCCTCAGGAAGCCAGGTTGTTAAACGGTGTAGATAACAGGATCCACTTTAGTTTCTGCCAAATGGTTGCTGCAGCAAATTGTTCAAAACACTGGTCTGTTTTAAAGCTTCTAAGTTCAAAATATCTTCTGCGATAACGGGAACTCTCACTGCTCGCCTCTCAGTCCCTGATTCACTCTCACTATCCCACAGCGTGCACAGAAGAGTGTCGTTTTCATACGTGGGAAAGTAATACCTGGGAGAAGGAGAAACAGGGAATTCCCTATTGCATTATAGAGTAAAAGTCACATAAATCTTATCTTTATAAATTGCATAATCGTTTAACTCGTACACCCAACGGTGTCCCATTCAGTGTTTTTTCAAAACAACTTAATTTCTTTACACAACTCGTATTACTCATCTCCTAACTCATAACTCCGCTCTCCTACCTCCATTACTCCCATGCTTATCGGAGGCCTTGGATCATGGGAGAATACGTCCTGACCCGTCGACGTGTATGCACTTACTGGCCAGCTGCATTGAATCACGGGAAACATAATCTTCATCTATCTACGCATGCGCAGAAGAACTTTATTTCCGATTCAAAGCAATTCCAACATTTGCAGGTAAGTGCGCATGTGATAACATGTGAAGACGCATTGAATCGTGGGAAATGTAGTGTTAACTTGTCACTACATGCGCACTTCCCGGCTGTATTGAATCACACATGTGCAGTGTAGATTATTGATTAAATTGGATTTTCTATGACTTCTACAGTTTGCTTGTAACTCGGACTTCGGGTAAGTCACATTAAATGTTATGGTCATGACTGATACGACTTAACGTGAGTTTCTTCTGATTCAAAAGCGAGAGCGCCACCAAGTTTTAGCCCACTTTTAGCTTTTGCAAAAGACGATCACAGTGAATCACACGTACATTGCTTTTAGTTTATGCTGAATTGAAGAACTTCACAAAAAGAGGAAGTTTAAAACTAAGTCTGGAGTACATAATGGCATATGATAAAACATCTTTGATTTGGACACTTACTGTGGTTGATCCCATGCTGACTGATCCAGCAGGGACATGATGTGTTTTGTTTCCGTCATGTGATTCACCACTTCTGCTTTCGAGCTGAACCTTTCCCGGCAGCTGTGGCATCGGCAATGGTGGACCTCCCTTCTGATGAAGTTGATTAATTTCACCTGCTGGTAGAAGTTTAAACCTGTGAAATGGGAAAGAAGTGTCCAGTTAGTCAGATACGGACAGGAGGAGGCCATTCAGACTGTCAAGTCTGTTACACCAGTTAAACGGCAGACCATTCAGTCCCATTTATTACCCTTTCCCCTCACCCATATTTCCCACAGATATACCCATCTCCCTTTTAAATATTTTAAATCATTCTGCCTCCACAACCTTCTGGTACACTGCACTGGGCAATTCACAACCCTCTGTATGAAGTTATGCTGTTGTTTCTAACCGTTTTCGCTGTAATTTTAACAATATGTCCTGCGGAAACTAACCAGCGTGAAGCGCACAACATAAATGCAAGCTGTTGTTTGGATCCAGCTACCAGACAGAAATTGTCCACTATCCAATATCCACATTATTCTGTTCATCTTATAATTATGTTTAATATAATTATATTTAATAAAATAATATATTTGAGACTTCTCAATGACATATGGCGCTATATGAGTACCCATTATAAAAGCTATCATTCACTCTAACTTCACCACAAAGCTCTCTGTTCAAATGTGCTTCATTATTATTGACAGGGGTCACGGCTTTTATGATTGATGCCGTGCTGTGTGAAGCAACATTCCCTGCAGTAGAGATCTTTTTGGAATGTGTGAAGTTCTGCACTCTCAAGGGCTGCACTGCAATACCAAGGCAATGCAGTGACAGAACATGCAAAGTCACAGGCAACTGACAAGCTAGATAACAGGCAACGAGAACACAGAGCAAATTTAAGATTAAGAACTTCTCGAGATCATTTATTTTACAAGATTAAATCCAGATCAATCACCCTAACATAAAAATATATCCTTCTCTCCTCTCCCTTGGCACATCCCAACCTCTCCATCCTGCTTTCTCCCCACTCCGCTATGTGCTGCCTCTGCTTGGTTCTGGCCTCCTGTTCGTTCTTATTCCCTCCGCTCTAACATCAGCAGCCGTGCTTTCAGCCAATGCATCCCAAAGCTTTGGAACTCTCTCCCTCAATCCATCCGCCTTGTCCCCTTCCTCCCTTCTTTTACATCACAACTAATGTAGTGAATACACAACTTCGACCGCCTCCCTCTCCCTCTGGCTCAGTGTTAGGCTTTGCCACTGTTAAGAGCTCCGAGATCCTGCCCTGCGTGAAGGGCACTGTATAAATGCAAGTTATTGTTGTAACATTATTCTGCAAACTTGGGTGATGTTTGCATGGTTTAACAATGCCCACTTATCATTTCATCCGATGTAAAAAATCTCTGGTAGTCGACGTGATAAGGTGTACGTTGAAACATCTCGAATTCCATTCAATGCTACTCTATGGTAATACTACTCACAAACTGTTAACTTACATCTTTAAATGTGAGGATTACCATTTAAGATTTTTTCCCCGTTTTTCTTCCTGTGTATCCTTCATAACTGTTTCCCGCTGTTTCCTAGATACTCCGTTCCCTTTGCTTCTAAACAGACTTGCCTCCCTTGCATCCCAGTTCCTCCTCCCGCATCCCAGCAACTCTCCCTGTTCCTGTAAGTGTACAGAAAGCCTTAAACAACACAAGAGTGAATATGATGGGCCTCTGAATCTTTTTCTGAATTCTTCCTGTTGACATACGCATCTATATATCAAACACTGGAGTGCACAAACATTCTGGCTGTACGACAGTGTTGCAGTGCCAAGGTCTCAAAACAGAGCAGGGTGAATGCCAGAGTCCTACTTTGAACCAACTCACATGTAATGGATGTTCAAGCCTCACGTTGGGACTTGGAAGGACAGTCTAAGCTGACACTTCAATACAGTTTTGGGGAAGATGTTAAACTGAGGTGGATGTCAAAGATCCCACAGCAGTATTTGAAAAAAGAAAGTTACTTCTCTTTTCGAGTTGCCAACAATCTCCCAAATAAAACTGGTCACTCTCTCCATGGCTGTTTGTCGGACACTGCTGTGCGCCACTGGCTGCCGCATTTCGCCCCCAAAATAAACAATCAATCCACTTTACAATATATGAACCATTTTGACACGTCTGAATGACATGATAAGGTGCTATATCAAATGCAAGGATCATTATTATTTTAATGTGGCAAATAGGACTTTTGTTATGTGCGAGAATATCACTTGGTGAAATGATTGTGAAGAAAATCTGCACTGTAGGCCACAGCCTCTTGAGATCAAATACGATGCCTGAAAATTGACACAACTTGAGTGAATACACAACAACATCAACTTGCATTTATATAGCACCCTTCACGTGGGGTAGGTCCCGGAGCGCTTGACAGAGGTGGAGTCTGACAACGAGTCAGGGGAAGAGGGCGGGGGAGATGAGCATAAGCACGATCAAAAAGAAAGGTTTTAGGTGGGATTTGATGCTGGGGAGGGAAGGGGCAAGGCGGAGGGATTGAGGGACAGAGTTCCTGAGTTTCGGGGTGTAGTGGCTGGAGACTGGAGCCATTCAACAACAACAAGATTCCATTTATTGAGCGCCTTTCACGTTGGGAGGACGTTCCAAGGCGCATTCGAGCGAAGGCAGCGGGTGTTGGGAGTAGGGGATAAAGCAGGTCGGATATGTAGGGAAGTGCGAGGGCATGAAGGGATTTGAAAAGGATTTAAAAAGAGGAGGCAGCCAGGCGGATGAGATTTGAAGGAGAGGAGGTGACTGCTGTACCAGGGGGAGCTGGTAGGTTTGCAGACGGACCTGATTTTTAGAGGAACAGGGAATTAAAGGTGGAAGAGAGGTCATCGTTCAGCAGCTTGATAGCTGCATCTGGTTTACTGCAGGTGGAAGGCCAGAGGGAGAGAAGGTCCGAGGATGAGAGGGCGTTTGTGAGGGATTCNGGGGGAAGCATTTTCCATGGGTGGAAAAAGATGATGGAGGACTGGGAGGAGGGAGGGTGATATGGGAGAAGAGGGAGATGAGGAAGTGGTCTTGTCTGTGATGGTCAGATCAGATGAATACTCAAATGAATACAACGCACCTATTTTACATACATACCCATTTCAGACTTCAGTTTCAGTAGATCAAATCCATGTGCCTCCTGCAAAACACAACAGTCGCTTTAAATAGATTTAACAAATTAAATACATACTTGGTACATGAATACACAATTTTCCTATCAGAATATTTACAGGCAACTGTTCAACATTATGTATGATTATAGCCATTTTCAGATGACAATGGCAGCGACATTGCACTTACTGATCTGGCAAATGAAACTTAATTTACAGTATGAAGAGTATTACATAATGAACAACTAGGCTGTTTCCACTGGCGGGGGGGTCGGTAACCCGAGGACACCGATTTAAAATCGTTGTTAAAAGAAACGGGGGAGGTGCGAGGAATTTTTCTCACATAGCGAGTTGTTCGGATCTGGAATGCATTGCCTGAAAGGCTGGTGTAACCTGATTCAATAACAACTTTTAAGAGAGTAGATAATTATTTGGGGAGGGCAAGCTTGCAGGGCTATGGGGAGAGAGCAGGGGAGTGGGATTGATTTGGATAGCTCTTTTCAAAGAGCCGGCACAGACACGATGTATAATTGTATACAGACATGCTGTATACAAGAAAGGTTTTAGGTGTATACAGACACGCTGAATAATTCTATGATTCTATGACATGATTCCTTTTCTATCATGGTCGCAACCCTCAACACTATTCCGTAACAACAACGCAATTTGCATTTATATAGCGCCCTTCAAACAAGGTAGCGTTTCAGGGGGCTTGCCAGTGACACTGAGCCAAGGGGATTGGGGAGGTGGCTGTTAGCATGGTTAAAGATGGTCTTGAGCTGCAATTTGAAGATGGGGAAAGAGGGGGAAAGGTGAAGGGATTGAGGGAGAGTGTTCGCCCCAGAGTTTTGGGGCATAATGACTGAAAGCGCAGCCACCAATGGTGGAGCGGAGGGCACGAGGGATAAGCAGGAGGCGGGAGCCACCGAGTGGAGGTAGCAGGTAGTGGAATGGGGAAACAACAGATTGGAAAGGTAGGGATGTGCCACGGCATGAAGGGATTTGAAAACAAGTGTGAGGTTCTTGAAATCGATCCCTTTGGTAATTGGGAGCCAGTGGAGAATGGAAAGGACTGGTGTGATGGAGATAGAGTTTGTGCGGGTGAGTTTGTGTAACAGTCAAGAACAGAGCAGAACGTTTAAATCTGAATGTGAGGTTTCCCACTGGTGGCCTATTCTTGACTCATCCATTGGTTGTCAGAGAAAGTAAAAAGGTAGTTTCTCTTGGTTGCCTGGGCGACAATCCCCCCTTCACCACCCCAACAACAAATTGGCCATTGCCTACTTTGTTGTTTGTGGGATACTGCTCTGGACAAATTGTCTGTCATATCTGTCAACGAAATACATAGTCATCAAACTTTACAGTGAATGAAATATCTTTTAAATATTCTCCTGTACAAGGCACGAAGTTCCGGAATCACGTGTTGCAGTACAACATGTAGATTCCCCAACTTTTTCCTCCACAAGCTGTAGTTTATCCAGGATTCTGCCGCTCGTCTCCTCTCCCGTACTAAGCTCTGTGAGCAGATTAGCCCCATCCTTAGCCTCCACTGGCTCCCCATCCCTCAGAGGATTGAGTTTAAAATCCTCATCCTCACATTTAAAGCCCTCCACGGTCGTGGCTCCTCCCTACCTCCGCAACCTCTTAATACCTGCTCCATGTCCCCTGCCCCGCCCACCCAATCATTGGCAGACGGGTCTTCAGCTTATTTGCCCCCACCGTCTGGAACTCCATCCCAAATCCTTCCGCCTCGGCCCCTTCTTCGTCTCCTTCAAGGCCCGTCTCAAGACTTTCCTCTTTGATCGTGCCTTTGGCCACACTCCCACTGCCATTTTCCCTATCCTCCAGCCTTCTTGATTCCAATCCCCAGCTCAGGTGCAAACCCTTAACTGTACAGCGCCTCAGGACATCCTACCGATGTGACAGACGCTGTGTGAATGCAATTTGTTGTTGTTGTAGATCTGGTATAAGTGGGAAAGAGGTTGCAGAGGCAGGGAGTGTGGTGTCTCACGCCCAAGGATCAAACCACAGACTAGTGGGACATGGCTAGCTGGCAGTACAATTCCAGGGTATGTTGCATTGATGCTCAACAGATTTTGATTTTGGAAAAGAGGTGCCAAACTTCAGAAAGTGGGTCTGAGTTGTCGGATAATGGCTTCACAAACAAACATAGTTTTATTGAATTAAGAAGTCGTATTCAACAACAACAAAATTACATTTATAGAGCACCTTTCACGTCGGGAGGACGTCCCAAAACGCTGAACAGTCAGGTGTCGGGGCCCGAGCATGGGGGAGGGGTGGTGTAGGATGAGGGAGGGAGACCAAAGGCACGGTCGAAGAGAAGGGTCTTGAGACCGGCCTTGAAGGAGGCAAGGGGAGAAGTGAGGCGAAGGGACCGTGGGATGGAGTTCCAGAGTGTGGGGGTAGAGAGGCTGAAAGCCTGGCCACCGATGGTAGAGCGGGTCAGGCGAGAGACATGGAGCAGACCAGAGCCCGCCGAACGGAGGGAGCGGGCAGGTTGGTAGGGAGTCAGCAGGTCAGAGATTTATTTTATTCAATTAAAGGAAATGATCCAGCTACTTCGTCACATCATTGCTCAGCCTTCAATGCTTTGCATGTTTCCTCTGCTAGTACTTTACCTTCACAGGAGGGCATGTAGGTAAGCGTGGGTCCAAGGTAATATGTTTGGCAATAGAATGTTGGAATCGAGGCAGTACTGTGTGGTGGTCTCGGTAGTCCGGTTCCTGCAGTATTCCAGGGCACTGTTATTAACAGCATAGCCAGCCTAGTTCATCGGCAGGACTTTTAAGGGCAGACCAGTCACTGGGGGTAGGGAACAGGGAATCCTCCCACTCAGCTCCCTAATGGGTAGGGTAATTCTAGCTGGACAAGCAGTGGGAAAGCTTCTCAGACAGTGATATCAATGGCAAACAATGTGGGTTTACCTGGACAGACTCCAGCCATTACTCCTACGCACACTCCCCAAGCCTTGGCTCTTGCCAACCTGTGCCTAATACTTTCCGGAATTAGGTAAGCAGGATGTGCCCCTCCAGGGAGAAAGTGGGATTTCCATGTGTAGATGGGATGCATGGAATTCTCAGTTTGGCTTGGATACTCTTAGTACAGTGATGTGTTTCCACATGTCAAACACCGACTCCAAAAAATACCTTCATATGATAGTGCAAATTTTCAGTGCTGTCTGCGGGATTCTCACAGAAGAGACAAAGAGCACAAACTGGGTGATCTTGCCAATCAGACCAATCACTGTAAAAGAATGTAAAAATCAAGTTACACAAAGACCGTTCAATTATATAGTTACACGTAATTACATAGCACATTACAGCACGGAAACAGGCCATTCAGCCCCAAACTACTTCATGGTGTTTGTGCTCTGCCCAAGCCTCCGCTGCTCCTCATCCCCTCCACTCCTTTCTCCCTTGTGTATGCATCAAGTTTTCTCGTAAAACACATTGCTCAACCATAGCTTCCAGCAGCAAGTTGCACATTCTCACCACCCTCTGTGAAAGCATTTCCTTATAAACTCTCTGTTGGATCTGTAGCTCGCTAACTTACATTGCCGACTCTTTGTGACTGGAGGCAGAGCTGAGCTTTCTCCCACTTACTGAACAGTGATTTGCACAGTCACGGCTATTGTCATGACCATGTTCTTTCAACTCTTGCTCTGCTCTTCACAAATCAATGAAGAGTAAATTGCAATGTTTGATGTCAACTGAACCATGAGAAAGCTCGCTGCCTTCCGCCACGATCCCACTTCACTTCTTCGATATGAGAAAAAACAAAGGCAATTCAGCCACAGATTGGAAACAGGGTGGCATTCCCAGGACATCTGGAAATCATAAAGCAACTTACTCATTCTGCTCATCCATCATTTCTCTGTCGTCTTCAGACTGAACCTCCTCCCAACTCTTCCCCAGTTCCTAAAGGTGGCACAATTTAACATTATTCTTTATTCTTTAAACTGTAAGAGGCTACAGAATCTGCACTGATTTTTGAAGTCCCATTGATGGATTCCTATAATGTAGTGGTTAGTGCACTCGCCTCACAAGCGAGAGGACCCGGGTTCAATACCCGTTTGAGGCGAAACCTTAGCCAAATTTCCTTACTCCACACACCTGTTTACCTAGAAATAAGTAGGAACCCGGTTGTTAGTCGATTTGTGGATTGGTTTCCAAGGGTAATAATCCCTCAAAACAAAATGCGGTTACTCAATCCACGACTGTTTTTGGGACACCGCTTGCGCAATTGGCTGCCGCATTTCACTCACAAAATCCATTTTACAATATATTCTCTAAAGTGCTTTGCGACGTCTCAACAATGTGATAAGCCGCTGTATCAAATTCAAGGATTATTATCATTGGCTGTGTATCTTGATCTTGTGAAACAATTTCATGGCGCTGTAAACACAATGCTAGACACAATGCTTCACAATCTATCGTTTTAGAGCAGCACTGCAGGAAATAATTTACTCAGGTCCCCAAACCAAAGGGATAGTTTCCCAAGATAAAACTGTATTGATGTACACAAATCTTACCAGATAGTTGATGATGTAAAAGCGGTCATACTCGCTATTTTTAGAATTGATTCTCCGATGCTGTTTTTTCCTCATGTGATCTTTCAGTGTATTTTTGTCACGGAATGTTTTCTCACAATATAAGCACTGCAAACTAAAGAACAGGGTGTGTAAACCAATCACACATGTAAAACTCAGTGATACTGCTCAGTGCCCAAGTCACTCTCAATTATCAAGGCATAACATGGAAAGAAACAAAACAAACATTTATTGCAAAGGAATCAGAAAAATGATTTGGAGCAAAACAGTAAAAACACAACTCCTGCACAAGATTTCCCAGGGAGTTTATTCACTGAGAATCAAACGCATTCCATCGGAAGGGTCCTGGGTTCACTCACCAGGATCTGCTGATAAGTTTTCAGTCAGGTTTGCTCTCAGAGGATTGCAACTGGCTTCAATGTCAAGTGAAATGGGAATATTCAGCAGAAGTTTTACCTTCGGCTAACTCCTGATGGAAACAATGTACACCTGTGGGGTCCCCATGGTGAATACAACTGTCCACTCTGTGGATGCAATCCTGGGTAACTGCATTAATAATTGAAGTGGATTAAAGGTAAATACAGTATAATAGTCCTTGCATTTGCAGTCCTTGTCTCACCATGTCATTGAGATGTCTCAGGGCTCTGCATAACATCTAATGAATTTTGTGGACGAAATGTGGCAGCCAATTGTGCACAGCAGTGTCCGACAAACATTCGTGGATTGAGTGACCACATTTTTTTTTGCAGGATTATTGCCCCCGAAAGTGATCCACCAATCAATTAACAACTGGGTTCCTACTGATTGCTAGCTAAACAGAGGCGTGAGGAGTAAGGAAATTTGCCTAAGGTTTCACCCCAACCGTGAATTGAACCATAGTCCTCTTGCTTACGAGGCAAATACGCTAACTAATACTCACTTCACAGCTTGTTGTGGGACATTGCTGCATGCAAAAGCACTGTTACCCACAAAATAGCCTCTAAAGATCAAAGAAAACTTCTGAAGCCCTTTGAGATGTTTCAATGTGATAAGGTTCTGAACCAAGTGCAAGAATTATGATGGTATTATGAATTTTAAAAAAATGAATCATTTTGTTGAAGCAATGCAACATTTTTTAAAAAATGAAAATGTTTTGAACTATTGAGAGAAAGAGACAGAGAGAGAAAAAACAGACCTTAAGAAAAAAAGGTTGGGCAAATGCATGCAAAAGAAGAAATGCATTCAGCAATATAATTTTTCCTGCAGTTAAGTGCAAAGGAAGACAACAACAACAAATTACATTTGTATAGCGGCTTACACGTCAGGAGGATGTCCCAAGACAACATAATACTGCAGGAATCAAGCCTTGATCCCCTTCTCCCCAGCATGTTGAACAGCAGTGCTCCATCACACCTCCTTTGTGTGCAGCTTTCCTAATCTTACCCACATTGAAAATGGAAGGATAAACTTACTTGTCCAGTTTTTTCTGCAGCAAATCGAGGAATTCGTTGCAGTACACAATATTGTCAGGAAGACCCAAGTTGAAAGAATGATCTCTGGCCATGTGGTTCAAGAAAATAGCCCTGTATAGACAGTCAAATGAAAAGTTTTAATTTTTTAAAATTCATCCCCTAAAAACATAATTTTCCCACTCATACGATCCTTTCTGAATTTAATCTTACCTGCTACCTGAAAGGTAAGAACAAAAGTAAGGAGCTAAGAACACTGTCTCAAGATCTTCCTCTTTGACTGTGCCTTTGGCCACACTCCTGCCCCACTACCATCCAAATCTCTTGATTTCAACCCAGCATGGATGCAAACCCTTTGCTGAAAGATTGACTTCAGTGCTTCTTGGACAGGGAGGGAGGGGAACAAGAGCTGCTCACAACTATCCAGTCACCTCTGCTGGAAAGTGGACATTCATGAACATCAGCTGAGTTCAGCACTGGCCTTACCTAAAATACAACCTCTCCCCCCATTGGTCCAATTGAAATGCCCTCAACACTTGAAATCTGATTTTATGACACAAATAATGGTCACTTGATAATGCTAATAATAATCCTTGCATTTGATACAGAGCCTTATCATGTCATTGAGAAGCCTCAAAACGCTTCACATAATATATTGGTAAGTGGATTGACTGTGTATTTTATGGGCGAAACCAATTGCTCAATTGGTTGAGGCAGCCAATTGCGCACAGCAATGTAGAACAAACAGCCGTTGATTGAGTGACCCAATTTTTTTTTGGTGGGGGGGGATTATTACCCCAGGAAAGTGATCCACCAATTGACCAACATCCGAGTTTCTATTTACTGCTATGTGAAGCAGAGTGTGGAGTAAGGAAATTTGCCCAAGGTTTCGCCCCCCCCCCCCCACCCTGGGAATCGAACCCTGACCCTGTTGCTTGCAAGGTGAGCATGCTAATCCTTACTCTATTGGACTCCTTGATCCAGTTATTTTAGTAGTTAACTTTTTCACCAAGGTGTGCTACAGAGAAATCATTGATTTCATGAGGAGGAGAAAGCACGAAAAGCAGCCCCCAGTCCCAGTTATTATTTTGACTTATCTGCTAATTCAAAGGAGCGGTGTCCTTTTCAATACACAAATAGGTGGGATCTATGGTAACTTCCAGATCAAAGGATCCAGACAGTTTCCTTTTGTCTGAATGTTTTCATAGAGCTTCATATTTTACAGCAGGAGACCACTATTTATAGGCCGGGTGACCTCTTTGATGAAGTAATCCTTCTCAGAAGGTGTTGGGAGTTCATTGCTGCAAATAATCAAAAACAGGTCCGGATTTATATCAATTTCAAACGTAAAGATTTGAGGTCCATGAAGAAGACTGTTTTTCTTGCTACTGTTGCAAAACTACAGCCAATCATAAAACAAACGGTTTTTGAAAATAACGTCACACAACGCTGAGTGCTTCCCATCATGACCGAGTTGCAAAACGGGAAAGATTAGGTTAAGATAAGTATCGTCGTGCGTGACAAAGTCTGGAGTCCCATAGCGTAGTGGCTGGTGTGTTCACTTCGCAAGCGAGAGGAGCTGGGTTTGATTTCCGGGTGAGCAAAACCTTAGGCAAATTTTCTTACTCCACACACCTCTGTTTACCTGGCAGTAAGTAGGATCGCTGTTGTTAGTTGAATGGCAGATTCCTCTCTATGAGTAATAATCCCTCCAAAAAAATTGGTCACTCAATCCACAACTGTTTGTGGGACACTGCTATGCTATGCTGCCGTGTTTCTGTGAAGCGCTTTGAGATGCCACAACGACGTGATAAGGCGATACATCAAATGCAAGGGTTAGTATTATTATTAAGATATTGCTTAATTTCACAACCTGAAGTCTGTCCTCTATTCTATGTGATTACTACAATTCAGATGAGCTGAGACATTTTAAAGTAAGTTTAACTGGGACCAGAGCTCTGAGACTTCATATAAATGCCAGTTGTTATTGTGTACATGTACAATAATAATTCTTGCATTTGTATGCTGCTTTTACTTCTGAAATATATATATATAATATTTTTAGTATAAATAATTAATAAAAATAATTTTTTAAGAAAAAATAATAATTTGGTCACTCAATCCATGACTGTTTATGCACAATTGGCTGCTGTGTTTTCTCTTTGACCGTGCCTTCAGCTCCCCTCTCGACTCTCTTCCCCCTCCTCGCTCCCTCCCTTCCCTCCCCTCACCCTGACCATTTCCCCCCTCCTCGCTCCCTCCCTTCCCTCCCCTCACCCTGACCATTTCCCCCTGCTCGGGTCATGACCCAACTGTGCAGCGCCTTGGGACGTCCTCCTGACGTGAAAGGCGCTTTATAAATGGAATCTTGTTGTTGTTGTTGTTGTTGTCCACAAAATATACAGTCACTTTGAGCAGAACACCTTATCTTTCCAAATGGTGCCATGAGACCTTTAACATTCACCCAAATAGACAAATGGAATCTCGGTTTCATGTCTCATCTGAAGGAATTTGTTCTTTTTTAAACTGCATGTTGGACTGAAAACAATCTGTGATCTCAAAGAACATGCAGTGCTGTTATTTTAACACAGATGAGGCCAGTTTAACCTTTTGCAGGTATTTAGCCTCTGGAATGTCATAGACCAGAAGGGATTAATCACGAAAACAGGAAGGGTGGACATTTTGCAATCGGGTCACTTTAAAGATTCTTCTGGTTAAAATTAGTACAAACCTATTTCCTGCAAACTCTTCACTGCAAAACATGCACACACGATTCAAGTTATTGTCGTTTCTTTCCCACTGCTGCTGTTCCAAAACTTCTTCCTGTGAAAAAGGAAACCCAGTCAATCAGTAACTGTTTTAGACATGATATGTTTTCCATCAAAAACAAGGAGGTGAGCCATAGAGGATATCAGGCAATTTGTACAGTAGTTGCTGAAATGTCTGTTGTGTTGTTTTGATCTCCCCACAGAGAAAAGCTTGTTTGTATATGAAACATTCTTGAAAACCAATGGTTAAAAACTTGCACGCTCTCACATGGAGAGGGTGTACAAGTAGAACACTATTCACCCCAGAAAGGAAATCCTCACTCAGACAGTGAATAGTATATTGAGTAACATAAGCCTGGAGATCCATACATAGTGAGCTGTTTTTACATTCAAATGTAGTGATAAAGCTGTAGTGGGTGACTTTTATTTACCTAGTAGTAAGTAGAAACCCAGTTGTTCGTCGATTGGCGGATCGCTTTCTGGGGATAATAGTCCCCGAAAAAAAAATTGGTCACTCAATCCACAACTGTTTGTGGGACACTGCTGCGTGGGATTGGCTACCACATTTCAACCACAACAACTACATTTATATAGCGCCTTTCACATCAGGAGGACGTCCCAAACTGCAGTACAGTCAATGATGTGCATCCGAGCTGGGGTTTGGGATCAGGAGGGGTGGAGGGCAGGAAGGGGGTTTGTTTGGTGACCGAAGGTGCAATTGAAGAGGAAGGTCATGAGACGGGCCTTGAAGGAGGCAAGGGAGGGGGCGAGGTGAAGGGACTGTGTTATGGAGTTCAAAAGAGTGGGGGCAGAAACACTGAAGACTCAATCTCCGATGATGGGGCGGGAAGGGAAGGGGAACGTGGAGACAGGCCACAGTCTGTCGAGCAGAGGGTGCGGATAGGCAGGTATGGGGTTAGCCGGTCAAAGAGGTAGGGAACAGCAAGACCGTAGAGGTCTTTGAAAGCGATGATGAGGATTTTGCCCACTCATACACAGTCAATCCACTTTACAATATATTCTGTGAAGTGTTTTGAGCTGTCTCAACAATGTGATAAGGCGCTATATCAAATGCAAGGATTATTATTATATACAGAGGTTAGACTGATGTGCAAGTTAAATTAACCAGTACGTGTGAATTTGATCTGCAACTGATCTTTGTCAGTCTTTGATCCTAGTCTACTTCAACGTAGATAGAAAGGCTCCATTTAAATTGCATTGGAAGTCTGAAGAGGAAGTTATTGTAATTATATGAGCAACAGAATTCAGTTTTTGGGTTTGGCCACCATGCAGGGAATGTTTTGAGCTGTTGACAGAGGGAGAAACAGTGTAAAAAAAATTTGAGTTCTTGGGTTGGTAACTAGGAGATAAAGCAGTTTTTCCTGTAATCAATCAAACAAGTAAACTTTCAATACTGAGTCAGGGCATTACTTAACGTATAAAGTTGTGGACCCAATCCCCACCAGCCCTGAGGAATTCCACAGCAGTAATTTCAAAAGTCCCCACCAGTAAATTGCCCTTCCATAAGAATAATAAAGGTAATGGCGATTTAGTCGGCAGTCGCCAAACGGACACTGTTTAGGTCGTTTTTACCGAATTTTAGGCAAATTTTACAGAATATTATTTGATAATTAAAGACATTGTATGATTATTATGAATTAGATTCTTGCTTTCATATTATTTTAATCATTCTAAGGTTTGAAACAAATATATGAAGTATTACTTCATCTGCAAAAATCTGCTTTTAATGTTTCTGGATGTGGGATAAAAGTGCCTCTGAGTTCAGTCCAATAGAGAAAATTCCTTAAAATATACCCTGCACTGAGTTCCAGTCTTTGCCAGGCTGATCAAGCAGACTTCAAGAATTCGCATGAACTCACTGTTTAAAGGAAAAAATAGACGCAAAACCTGTAGCTTGGGTATACTGCAAGTCAATGCAATGTGCTTTGAAAGCTTAAGCTGTAATGTAATACCCTGGTCGTGTCTCACTGCACCATATCGAGCTTTAAATAGCAATGGAGAGCAAAACAAACTCTTGAAAAAGACACTTCAGAAGTGAGATCACAATCCAATATCAAGCTACAACAGAATGTTCACACCCAATTTAGTGCCATGATTCAACACCTTTGAAAAAAGTGACCCAAACTTCGATCTTATGCTTTTTAGATTTCATTTGAATTCTAATTGATTCCACTTTAAGAATCGTCAAAACCATTATCTTCCATGAATTTCACCCAGATCATATAATATACTGTATACTGTTTGGCATCCTTAAACTATCAAGTGTGGGTGAAGGCACATAGACACAGAAACTGGATTCCTAATATTTTCATTTCAATGCGTTGTGTGAGCAACATATATAAAAAAAATAGGATGCAGGTTCATCACTGCAGGATCCAAACCGATGCAATAGGGTATTGGAACCTTTTTTTTAATTCAAATTTCTCTCTTGTGCAGTGAAGATTGGAAGGATCCTGATCACATCATGGGTAAAGGTATATAAAATCATTACTAAAGCTTCTTCAGCAGCTTTACAAGTTTTAATAATAATCTTTGCATTTGATATTGCGCCTTACCACCTTGTTGAGACGTCTCAAAGCGCTTCACAGAATATAACGGGCATAACCTTGACCTATGAGAACTTCAACATCCAAAAATTACACTTCTACAGCACCTTGCGAAGAACTCAGAGGTCCTGACAGCACTTTGGGATGTCCTTCCGAAGGATTCATTTTGTTTTCAAGGTTGTGGGCACCCTCTGGAACTCCATCCCCAAATCCCTCCGCCTTGCCCCTCCCTCGCTTCCTTCAAGGTCCGTCTCAAGACGTTCCTCTTTAAACGTGCCTTTGGCCACACTCCACCCTCCCTGCCCTCCAACCCTCTTGATTCCAAATCCCAGCTCGGGTGCAACCCATTAACTGTCCAGAGTCACGGGATGTCCTTCTGACGTGAAAGACTGTGTATAAATGTAATTTTTTGTTGTTGTAAACCATTACTTTGTTAAATGTGGCATGTGAAGCTGTGTCCCAACAAGGAACTCGACCCGAGGCACGGAAATCTGGATAGGAATCTGAGTAGGCAGAAGGTCCTGCAGCACTGCCAATTCCATTGTAGCTCTTGCTGTTGGTAGGGTGTGATCCACAGGAGCTCGAGGAATGGTTGATCTGGAATTACTGTGTAAAATTTATCATGTAGTGTTTCAGAGATAATCAGTAGTTACAGTAAGATAAGTCCCACCAGGATACTGTACACCAGAAGGGGTTGGGGGTGGGGCTGGGGGAGGAATTCTCTGTGCTGCCCAGCCAAATGCATATTCTGCTTAGAATAAGCAAGTGCTCCCTTTGGGACTGACTCATGCATTTTGCCCATGTAGCTTGCAATGTACAACTGCAAGCTTAAGTCATAAAATCACTCTTTGAAATTCACTGTGCAATGTTTAACCCTTAATGAGCAGGGACAGTGAAGTGAGCATGTATCGGCTGCCTGATTGACAGGTTCCCAGATCTCTGATTTAAATAATAATCCTTGCATTTGATGTAGCGCCTTATCACGTCTTCGAGACGTCTCAAAACACTTCACAGAATATACTGTAAAGTGAATTGACTGTATATTTTGTGCGCGAAATGCAGCAGCCAATTGTCCCACAAACAGTCATAGATTGAATGACCAATATATTATTATTTTTTTTTGAATTAATTATCACGTCAGAAAAGCGATCCACCAGTCGACTAACAATTGGGTTCCTACTTACTGCTAGCTAAACAGAGGCATGTGGAGTGGAGTAAGGAAACTTCTCCAACACTTCACCCTGCCAGGAATCGAACCCAGGTCTCTCACTTGTGAGTCGAGTGCAAACTACATCTGGACTAAGTTTCCCTCAGTTCATGTCAGACATCAGGCTGATCAAAAAAAAAAGTGGCACCTTTTCTGAGATGTATGGGTTAACTTCTTACATTTTAAATGTTCTGACCATTTAACTTTCTTCTTTGATCTGGCATTGCTCCCTCGACTCAGCGGGCTCCGGCCTGCTTCACGTCCCCAGCCTTGCTTGCCCCACTATCGGCGGGCTGCTTTCCCCCACCCCACCCTCTGGAACTCCATCCTGCAGACCCTCCGTTTCGTCCCCTCCCTCGCCACCTTCAAGACCCACCTCAAGACCCTCCCCTTCGACTGAGCTTTCGATCTCCCTGCCTTCACCCCCGCCCTCCACCCTCCCCCACCCCGACCCCCAGCTCGGGTCCGTAACTGTGTCTGTCCAGCACCTTGGGACATCCTCCCAACGTGAAAGGCATTCTACAAATGTAATTTTGTTGTTGTTGTTGTTGATTTCAATACGTCATGAGCCAGGTCATGGACAAGGCATGTTTTCCTTCGACAACAGACTCTTTCAATGCACCCAAAGATGAACTGTTGCCTGATACTCAGCAAATGAACAACCCTTTCACCACATCACTTTACAGTATATTGTGTGAAGCCTCAAAAATGTGATAAGCTAATATCAAATAGCAGGATTATTATTATTATCGGTCTTGCAAACCTCAGGGAGAAAGCAAGAGAGGGTTTGGGAGAGGGAATGAGTTGGGGTGGAGGCTCATGTGGAGTATTAACACTAGCACGGACTCATTGGCCCAAATGACCAGTTTCTGTACTGTCGTCTATTAAAATTCAATAGGATTCTTTCGTCCATGGGGTGTTTATTTAAGAGCAAGCAGAACTCAGTGCACAAATGTCTTTAGTTCCTACTGTTGAGCTTTTCCTCTTCCAAAAATAATTTCATTTTCTTTTGGCAGCCTTATGTGTGGCTCTGACTCTGAGTGGAGAGGACCCGGTGCGAGGCAGCTGTTCCGTGAAATCGAACTTTATTTCTCCTTCAACACAACTGGTGATTCTGGTGTAGGAATTTCAACAACAACAATTTGCACTTGTGTTTTTTTTCTTTTCGCCCACAAAATACACAGTCAATCCACTTTACCATACTGTATATTCTGTGAAGTGCTTTGAGACGTTCTTAACAACGTGATGAGATACAATATCAAATGCAAGGATTATTACTAT